TCATTAAAAATATGATGTTATTTATCCACAAAAATGTTCATTGCAATACCGTTTAATGGAAAAAAAAGAGGAACCATCCCAAAGTTTGTCTATAACATGGAATATAATGCATTTTTTTTAATTAAGATTTCTGAAGAAATTGTAATGACAGTGTAAAGATGCTTATAAAAATATAAACTAAAAAAGGAAGAATCAAAGTGTAAATTCATTTTGATTCCATACATATGTGTGCATATATATATATATATACACACACACACACAGAGACATGCACACAAACACACACATATAACAGGTATATATGTTTATATACATACATATACAGTGTGTGTATATATATATATAACTATGTATGTATACTCGCACAAGAAAACGATAGCAGTTTACAATATTTACAGTGGCAATCTCTTAGTTGTAAAATTATCCATAATTATCAATAATTGTATGTATTTTTCAGTGTTTCTATAGGAAATTGCCTTTCTTTTATAACTACAAAAAAATAATAATTTTAGAAATAATTTACATTAGGAAAGTTTTACTTGCCTTACAAGAAAACTAAAGATGACAAAAGATAATCAAATTTCCACTAATTTAAGTTTAAATTTTGCTCTTAATCTGGGATATTTTTAAACATAGTAAAAGTACAACTTTGAATAACAGCAGCAATCAAGTTTTACATTTAACAAAAGGACACGATTTCTATTATCTTTAAAACGAACATCAAAAAAACAAAGTCTTTTTTCTTAGGAAGATTTGAGCATCTAATAATCTACAAACAATAAAACTGCATTGTTGTTGCTATTGGTTAAAAACAGTTCATTTACAGAGGGAGTTTAGGTTTACCCTCTAGAAATGTTTAATTCCAGACTGATATTTCCAGACCAATTTTTATGCAAATTAATTAAACATTAGCCTGAGCCAAACTTAATTACCAGGTCTCCAAGAACACAATCATGTGATCTATTTCTAAAGAAAAGTGAATGGATTTTTGGATTATCTGTTCTGATAGTTCCCTCCCATTAATATGGATGATTGAGTTCACTCTATAAAAAATATACATATAAACTGTGAGATCTTTTATGTTCTGTTGTTTCCTCTGCCAGGAGGGATTAGGGCAAAAGACAGTGGGTGGAATTCAGCTAGACTGAATGTGGAGAAGCAAACATAAAGCTTGCCCCCATGGGGTCAAGAAAGCAAGATGGAATGTGGGATGTCTGTGCACTGAAGAGAAAAGCAGATGGCGGGAGTCGTTGTTAACACACAGCGGGCCTGGGTGTGGGGCAAGGAACTCACATACACCTCTGTGTAAGATGCTAAATCCTCACTTTGCTCAGGATTGAGCAAATACAATTGTTCTTGGATTTCAAAGCTGTGCACCTCATTTCTTACCCCATTTTTTACTAACTTTATTTCAGAAAAATTATAGAGAAATATATATGCATTTCCATTTCAAGAAAAGATTGCCACAGTATGTTAGGCACACAGGTGAAATAGATCAAGAGTAGGCACAAGTGAAAAAGGCAGGGGAAAGAAATACTCCCCAATAAAGCTTAGCAATGGTCTCTCAACCTCAAAGTGCAGTGCCAGACCTTACTAGTCACAGAGAAATACCCTATTATTCATCAGCAGCTGTGGTCCCATCATATCTGCAGTGCCCCAGACCCTGCTGAATTGTAGTCTTCCTATTCCTGAAAGAATTCCTCTGAAATTTTATCAAGTGGAGCACACTGGGACTAGAGATACACAAGAATATGAGTGGTTGCTTCTACTCTCCAAATGCTCTACTCTTTACCTTCATTGTATAGATAAAGCCAGATCACAAATAATGAGTTCCCCATATCAACAGTGATAGAGAATGAGGCTCACTCAATAAGTAGTGAAGTTTCCCTCTCAATATTGTCTTCCCAAATGTCAGTGGTGATGAGTATCTTTACCAGGAGACATATCCTCATATAATGCCAAAGTTAGAATCTAAGATATTATCTAGTTTTTTGGCCTTTTAAAAAAATAACAATAAAATTAAGGCCCAGTGAGGTTATGATTTGCCTAAAATATCCATTTCTTCTTCCAGGATCTTTGCAATAAATATAGTATATGAAGTGCTCAGTAGCCTAAGGCATTACCTTGTTGTTAAAAAGTACAATAGGAGGTTGCAGTCCCTAATTACTATTTATAATAGAGTATTATAATACTCAATGAGTATTATAATAGAGGGCCAATTAAAGTGATAGTTATTGCTCACTTCTTACGTAGTGGGTGCTGAGAAAGGAAATTTGAACAAAACACATTTTATCTTCACAATGCTTATAACATGGTACGAGGGACAAATGCAGATACAGCTGTATTACAATGTAACAAGAGAACCTAAGTAGATGAATGAGGGAGAAACTCAGTAAGTAAAGATGTGATCACTCTATATGGTACCCAAAAGTGAGAAAAGTAGAAATGGGTTTTGAGGAAAAGATTTTATGTGGCTTACTCTTCCATGTTAAAGAAATGTGTGACTAAAATTATATTTCTCTATAATTTTTCATGACAGTAAAAATTAAAGGGCACAATTGGAATCCTCACATATTTCAGGTGAAAGTGCAAAATGGGGCAAACTCTTTTGGACACTGTTTTCCAGGGTCTAGTAAAGCTAAATATATGTATTGCCTATTACTTAGCAATTTCATTCCTGGAACAGTATACATCAATGAAAAATAATGAATAATTGATAGACACAACAACTGGGATTAACCTCTCAGAAACAGGTGTAAAAAAAGTGAGATACAAAAGAGCATATAATGTATGTTCTGTTTATATGAAATTCAAAAACAGATAAAATGGTTACCTTTCACCTGTCGGGGTATCTACAGGTACCAACAGAGGAAGTCACTAGTGATAGAAATGTTCTCAGTCTGGGTGGTGATTACACAAGGAGATACATGTGTGTATATTTTAAAAGCTGTATGCTTATGCTGGTGAGCATTTTACTATATGCAAAGTATACTTCGATATAAAAATTAAAAGGCAAAATAAAGATATTTCCAGAAGAAAAGGGATTTGTAGTCAGATAAACATAGTTATGAATTTTGAAAGCAGAATAGGGATCATAATACTTGCTTTACAGTACTAATATGATTAGAGAAAATGAATATGAAATGTTTAGGCAAAGTCTGGCCTTTTTATGGGATCAATAATTAGTAAATATATTCTCTAGGATAGTGCTTCTCAAGATTTAATGTACGTACAGATTACCTAGAGATTTTGTTAAAATGCAGACTCTAATCCTGTAGGTCCGAGATGGGGTCTGAAATACATTTTTGGAAAGCTTCCAGGTGATTCCAATGTTGTTTGTTCATGGACCATACTTTGAGTAGCAATGGGGAGAAATAGGGATGAATGAGTTTTATCAGCAAGGGAAAAGTCTTGATCAAATCCATATTTTAAAAGCTATTACTGTTAGCCATTCACGAGATAGATTATAAGAGAAGAAAATGATAGATTTAAGAGACGATAATACATCTCTGAATGAGGAAAAGGGAAGGAGACTGAATGGTGGGAAAAAAGACATTTTTTAGAATCATCAAATCTTGGCATTTCACTGAATTTTAAGAACGATGAGAGAAGGGCATCAAAGACAGTTGAAATTTTTAGTTTAGTTTAATCAAAAATCAGATCTTTTTGATTAAAATTGAGCTTGAGAGGTAAGGATGTCAAACACTTTTTTTTTTCTGTCTATGTCACTCTAGCAGAGAATGAACCAAGGGGAAGTAGTATAAGAATAGTTGTATTGAAGAGGACTCTGTAACGTTGAAAGACTGTGTAAGTTAGCTTTGCTGCTATAACAAATAACTAAATAAATAAAAGTCCCATTAGTTTACATCAACAAAGTTTTGTCCTGTCTCTGCTTGGTTTTGCTCCATGTTTTCATCTGAGGATCTAGGCTGAAGTATACTCTATTAGGAGCAAGAGAGCTGGAGGAAACAGGCAATGGACCTTGAATTCCGCTTAAATGTGGTACACATCATGTCTATTGCTATGCCATTTTTTAAACCTAGTCACAAGAATAGGCCTGGCATCAAGAGGTGGGAACATACTCTTGTCCCACAGGAGTTACTACAGGTCACATGGTCAGAAACAGAGCAGTAGAATCCTCTTACAGAAACAAGTAGAGATAAGCTGGAACAATAGCGCACGCTACCACAGGGACGTACCAGGCAAAAAATCCAAGCTCTTCTGTATCCCATTGTGCCTATAACCAACCCTAGCACTGGATTTTTTTTTTTTTAATTCAACAGTTAAATATCCTCAATATAAAATCTTTCATTAAAATTAAACAAAATGGGCAGATTTTAATTTCCTCTCTTAATGAGCACTTAAATGTTCTAAACTCTTTGGGGTGGGGGAAGGGGAAGCCAGGGGTAGTAGAAGAAAAAATATTACTAGATCATCAGCCTCAGAGTAATCAAGACTTGGCTGAATTCTCTCCTGACCTTTGCTATATTTAGTAGGTATCTTTAGAGAATGGTTGAGCTGTTAGGTGACCCAATCTGTGTGTGCTCACATTACTCAAGTTTTTCATGCTCCATTGATGAAGAATGAAAATGTCAGTAGTGTTTTAATTTTCCAGGAATCATCAATAAAGGAAATATCTTTATCTTAAAGGGAAATTAAATGTAGTTAACCCATGCAGCCCAGAAATCATTTAAAATCTCTAGACTTCTAGGTTGTATCCACAGATGTTCAGTGCATTCATACACTAAATACTAATTATACCAATCAGCTCTAAGAAGAGTTTTTGCCTAAATGATCTGGCTATTTCTTATAAAATAATTGATATAAGTTTGATAATTTGCAAAATACCTTTATCCATCACTTTGGTTCAAAACTGTTTTCTACCTCATCATGCATGATAAAACACACAGTTTCTGAAATGTTTGTTTTTTCAAACCAGGGATAAACCTATGGTCATGCACATCACATTTCTTTTATTTTTCAATCACTGTTCTTAACAGGACAAGAGAATGATTCGATGAAGAATGAAATAAATATTGAGGCAGAGTCACAGAGCTCATACATGGAAACAGAAGGTATTGAAACCAGAATATACTTTTATCAAAGAATGAGATGAAACTGTGAACCACGACCCCTATATGTACTTGTGTATGTGAATGGTGTGTGTATATGTTTTAGGCAATGATTTCTAGAAACTTGGAGGGAAAAATAAAAAAGAGCTTTAACTTAGTATGTTTCAGTCACTGTGTTTTGTCAATGATTTCAACTAAAACATCCCTGAGATCCTTATCTCTTATCCTATTTAGAGCTTTCATCAAACCAAGATGATACCACGATTGTGGAGCAACCAAAAATGATTCCACTCACAGATGGCCAAGAAGGAGAGGAAGGCGAAAAAGGTAGAACTGCTCTTAAATTGACTCATCAAGAATAGAGTTTCTTTGGATTCTTGCTAGAATTCACCATCAGAGTTATCCTCACACAACTGCAGTCTGCTAAGTGGGGGAAATAAACATTTCTTTAAACCTAAACCTACTTTTGAGAGTAGACTAAAATCTAGAAGTAGCAGAAGAAGATACTTGTAAAAGTTTTTTTGTCCTTCCAAATAGTATGAAGATGTTTATTATTCATTTAGATTCAATTTAATTTAAAATTTGAGGAAGCCTATAAGAAATCAAAATTATGGACTAGATAGATGAGTCTTAGAAAAATTGAGATGGCTATAAAACAAATAGATTAACATTTTTGTATTGATTTCATTCTGTCATCCTTCATATAGTAGTGATTAAGGAAGCAATTTATGTAAAATATCCATGTTATACGAACCTTCTAAATTGCAATCTGCTAATATTAGGATACCATGATATTAAATACTGTTAAAAAATACCTGAGCATTATAATGATTTCTGAAGACACAGGAGGAATGGACATTTTATAAATTTTAAAGCAGTATTTGGAGCACAAGCCAGTATATGGAGTACAGATAGAAATCTTTTAAAATCTATTTTAAAAAACTATTATCAAAGAATTTTAGCATTTATTGAAGAACTTGAAGAATTCATTTTCACATATAGAACAATCTCTTAAAAACTAAAACATGAAATCAAAAGTGAGATAATTTCTCTAATATACTATATCATAAATGATGATGCTCTTAAATAAATATGTGTTTGCAAAGCAGTTGCAAAGTAATAACTTGACAGGCCTTGTTTACAAAACACAGTGATCAATTTTCCTTCCAAATTAAAATGCAGACATGATCTCAATTGTAAAATCAGGTCAATAGTAGCTATAGCTTCCAAATTGTGAACTCTTCTTGGCAGAGGCATTGATACACTTTAATTAGTAAGCCATGTTAGTGATTTTGACATCTTTTTTTGTTTGTTTCCACTGGATTTAGAGCACAATATTCTTCCATGTGTATGCCTCTAATAACCTTTTCTTTATTGCAAATCCTAGTTCAAGTTCATGACACCATGTTCCTGGCAAGTCAAGTAAATGGTATATTTGGAGTATTTGGAGTATTTAATGAGAATGATAGCAGGCAACTGATATAACCCTTACTTGAGACATAGATCCATGGCATTACTCCCTTCACATGTACTTCCGAAATGTAAAATAAGCAGTGCCATGCCTACCTGCTTAATTTCTCTATAGCAGAATTATTTACTTTATATATTTAACTCAACACATGCAAATGAGGCCCATCAAACTGGTACTTTTTCTTCTTTCTAACTTGACCTACAGGGAAAAACTCTTCAGTTCAGTGCACGCAGACATGTTACCCTTCTCCCCTTGTCTTCCCCAGCTTTGAGCTCTCCTCTCATTACTGAAGAGTTAACTACCCACTTTTCCCCTCTCTCTTGTGAGGATACCAGTCCTCTTCTACAAATGGTGGAATGGCGTACGAGAAACAAGTGAGGTCAAATTCCGCTACTTGCTTGTAAAAACTTTGAAGTATTTTTTTTTTCCCTTGAATTAAGCTTTGACTTTTCTCTGTAGGAGATTAATAATGCCTGTGGGCTTGAATTAATCTCATTGTCCCTTCCCTTCTCTACCACAGATACCTGACTTGGCCCTTCCTTGAATATTTCTGTTTAAATTTGAAATAACTTAAAATGCATTACCTTTATCATTTTATTCTTTGCTTCAAAACAAGACTTAAAAGCTATTCTATTAAATGTAAGAAAAGTAACCAAAAGAAAATGGGGCAATGTAGATTTATCTTGCTCCTCATTGGCAAGCTGGGTGACCTTGGGCAAGTTATTTAATCTTTCCATGCCTCAGTTTCTTTACCTGCAAGATGGTAATGAATAAAGTAACTGTCAAATACTGTTGTGGTGAAAATTTGAGTTAACACACGTAAAGCAATTACAATACTCGGCACATAGAAAGTACTTCGTGTTTAGTATTTATCATATTTTAATAAATAGATGACAAAAATCAAGAGAATTCACATGTGGAGTTCCTCAAGTCCATTCATTGTCCTTCCTAACTATTTTAAATCCACATAAAGTTCACATATTCCACATTATCCTTCAACAACAATTTGTTCTGCACATTTCATTTTCAGCACTATCTCCTTCAGGGAGTTTCAATATGTATATTTTATTCTATAAAGATAGAATAATTAATGAAAAGTGAAGTGGGAGTCATCTCTTTTATTTATAAAGGCCTTTTTTTTTTTTTTTTGGTCAAGATCTCCATCTTCTGCTTAAGAAATACTGATTCAGCCATAATTTATATTTTTATATTTTAATTTTTTTATTGAGATGTAATTGGCATATAACACTATATTAGTTTCAGGTGTATAACATAATGATTCATAATTTCTGTTTTTAAAAGCATAAGGCTTTTATTTATTGGTTGCTCCACAGATAAAAGTAGTAAATAGGTTAAAAGTAGCAGAATTTTCTCTTTTTTTGTTTTATATAGTTATTAAAGAGTCTTGTTTAAAAACATTTTGAGAAAATAGCTACAGGTTTTGTGTATATCCACAGTGTCTCTTAATGGAAGTTGCACTTATGTATTAAGACTTATTCTTACCGGGAAACAAAAACAAATGAGTATTCTGTTACATCTAGAGGGATATTCTTTATAGCTTTAGAAATATCGGTTCTTTTTATTTTGAGAATCTTTCTAAGGAAACAGAAAGAGGTTTCTTACAAAAACTTCCAGACCAGGAAACACGTATAACCTTTTTCTCTCATTTTGTAACATTCTATAATATTAGAAAATGTAGATAATCTTCAGGATACGTCTTCTATGGCTCCCAGGTGTATGGGCACAGATGTTGCAACATTAAGCTTTGAAGTTAGCTCTATCAAAATATGGGTTTTGAAAAGAAGAGAAAATATTCACCAGAAGTTCATGCTGATAAAATTACACAATAGCACAATGGACATATCCCTAGGAGACTTGAAATACAAAAATTTCAACAGGCATAAAGTGAGATTTCACATATGGCAGCTTTACTCATATAGCCACATTGCCTCTTCCTAAGTGAGTCAAGTTTTATGCTTTCCCAGCAGGATCTGCAATACATATGAAATCCAGTAAAATCACATCACTTAGGTTAATAACTAAATAGGAAAGTAATATCATAAGAGATCTCCTCTAAAAAGGATCTTATGTTTTAAAGCCAACATTAAAACATTTTTCTGAAGAAATATTTGACATAAAATCTTAACTATGTTAGCATTGTATCATTATTCTATCACATGTTTATTTATGTTTTATTATGAAATATACTGAACTTTTTCTCCAAGTGTTATATAGAATGCATACATCTCAATTATTTTCTTGTATCAATTAATAAGTATAATACGGAATAGTAATCCTTTATCTGTTTACCTAAAGTTGACCAAAATCGATGGAGACTTAAGGTATATTATGGTCTATGGTCTTGGAAAAAGATGGATATAGACAGGTAGAAAGTGCAGTACAAGCCAGCAACAAGATTATCATGTCCTTAGGATTAGGATACAGAACCAGTGGATACTGTGGGTGGGATGTGATCCTGGAACCAATCCCCCAAGGATACCAAGGAAAACTATATAAACAATTCATTTTTTAATGCTTTTTTTCACGATTCTATATGAATTCTATAGTGTGTGTGTGTGTGTGTGTGCACGCGCGCACGTGCTCTCGTGTGAGGTGTGAGTGTGCATGTGTGTCATAAGGTTAAGAGTCAGAAGATCTGATTTTTAGTCTGACTTTGATGATGACTAGCTATAACCATGAGTAAGCTGCTTGAGCCTCTTAGAGCCTCCAGTTTCCTCTTCAGTAAGAGATATACTTATTCTCATGCTTCTTACAGTTGTGGAAAAGATAACATTAAACCATTTCTGAGAATGACTGGTGGCCTCTAACAGGAGTGAGCAAACGATGACCAACAGGTCAAAGCTGGCCTGCTGCCTCTTTTCATATGGCTTTTTAGCTAAGAATGGTTTATGCATTTTTAAAGATTGGGAGAAAAAAGATAATAATTTGTGAGATATGGAAATTTCAGTGTCCACAGATAAAATTTTACTAAAACATATAAAGCCTAAAACACCTGATATCTAACTCTTTACAGAAAAAAATTTGCCAACCCCCAGTATTGGGCATCTGTGTGAATGTAGCCCTCATTTCTATTTACAAATTACCCTCATTTCTGTGCAGAAACTCTTTAATTGTGCACTCTTTATCAATATATTCAGACATGTCTACATGTATGCTTCACTGATAATGGGAAAAAAGCTTTATTTTATTTATTCCCACAATGCCTTGCCTTTTTGTAGGCACAGCATTTGCTCTGTCTACACTCCTTCCCACACTAGTGGACCAGGGAAAAATGGCTCCTTCTGATGTTAACCTCCTTTGGAAGGGATCCAAAGCAGTGGGCTTACGCTCTAAGAATTTTAGGCTATAGGATAAGTAATCTTTCTCCCTTGGAATAAAAATTTGTTTCCTTTAAACACATTTCTTTTTGACCCTGTATTTAAAAGGGGAGTTCTATTTATTTACTAGTTAACTGTAAACTAGTTAACTTTGCTTTCTCTGAGTATACTACAAGTGAGATTTGTATTAGAACTATGAGCTAAACATCCTAATTATAATCATTTTTACAGAAAGACCATTAGGTGACAGAACTAAAAGGTGCAGGTCTAACTGGGGTTGATAGGGATTGCAATAAAATGGATGTGTAAATATGTTCACATACACATTTGACTGTAAAGACCAAAATCTTGTCAACCAAATTTTAACATAAATTTAAACTCAGATATTGATTGGAATATCAAATTTAAGCGCTACTTTTTCTTTGTTTTAGAAGGAAACTCAATTTATTTTCATTACTCTTTTTACATCAGGTGCTTACATTTCAGGGCAGTACGCAAAAAGCAGGTGGGATAAGGAG